CGGACCGTGTCGACCCGGGAGACCGTAGACCGTCTGTAGTTCACTGGAGATTATACATAACTAAGGGACATGATGTAAATTACCAGTTTCCTCCACCAGTTTTTACCAGGTGACCTGATTCACTAGTTATTTGGATAAATAAACTGAAGCTATAACTACAGTTATGCATCATTTCAGGTGTCGGAGCATTTTGAGGAACTGTTTTTGTGAAACACCAGGTCATTGAAGAACTCTTGTTTTGGGCAAATGCAGTGTTGTGTTTCCCAGCCAGAGAAATAAGCTGTTCATCTTCCAGTCACGCAGGCTGACGTGCTTTAGCGGGACTCTTGAGGAGAACTGCATTATTCATGGTGTTGACTGGAGCCTGTTTTGTACATTGGGGAGACCAGGGAGATAGTGAAGAAGTACCATCACACCTGAACAGCTTATATTTCTTTTTTTTTACTCAGTGATCCCAGTGCATTGAGAGTAATGTGTTGTGTGAATTTCAACCATACAAATAAAATGGACTTCTCATTTTGAGTATTGTTTTTGAGGTCCCTTAGAGCTTCATTGTTGTTGATGGAGTGCTAAAGTGTAAATGGTTAATTATTGCTGAAAGACCACGAAATAGCATTGCTTTTAACATGTTTAAATTGTTGAGTCACTATGCTTAAAGAATGTACATCAACAGAGATTTCATCCTGCTTTCAAAGCACACATAACAGGACCTCTCAAGTCCAGACCCAGCTTTCTGGCTTTGAGAGTGGCATCAATTTTTCAAACACCCCATCACAAAGGATGCTTGTTTCTCCCACTGAATCTTTTCATATTTATATCCATTTGCTGCATGAACAAGTTCAGCCTGTACCTTTTCTGTGTGTGTGTGTGTGTGTGTAAGGGGGGGGTTGAATGTGGCTGCATTTAATGCTGGATTCAGGTTGTATGTCATGCCTGAGCACTCTGCAGGAGGCAATGTAAATATTTAACTGTGAAATCTTCTACTTCTCTTGCACTGTGCTCAACAGAATTTTTAGTGTCATTAGAAAATTAGGTGGCGCTCCGTCTTTGATTTACAAAAAGAAAACGGTATTTGCAAGTGATTTTTTATTTTCTAGCTGTAAATTTACACTGTTATTGTTTTTCTTAATATTGCACAGTGTAAATCCATAACATCTTTCAGGAATAGCTCCTTATGTCCACAGTTGCTATTTCTCCTCCTGCTGGTAGAAAACTCCAGGATTCACTACTTAACTGCTCCTCATCATGATAGCAGAGCTTTCAGGTGACTTTGGAACACAATCTATTCATTTGTATCCTTGGCAATGGTTCCGTCATTAATTACTCTGCAGAATACACTGCCAATGATGGATGGCTGAACTCAAACTGATATAAAGGTGAAAGGTTCCTCCCATACTTGGTGAAAGGTCAAGCATTTGTTCAAATGACAATGTTAAATATTTTGAAATATAAGTTCTTTTTATATAATACAGCCCTGATGTGGTGTGTGTGTATTATTTAAAAGATGACGGTCTGTTTGCTGCCATTACTGCTTATACTCCAGAGACTCCTAGCTCGCACTCTGCAAGGATCAGACTTCCACTTGGCTAAGTAACAGTGGTCATGTGACTTGGAAGATCTACTGCAAGGTCTTCGAATGCTGTTTCTGCAGGGGCTGGTGCACCAGCTTGGTTTGCAGGAAAGGCTGAGCTGTACATCATTTTTGCATTTATTTTTTTACCCTACTTGGCCTGAGTAAAGGTGAATGCCCACATCTGATTGTGTTGATTGTTTGGTGTATGATCTTTAAATAATGCCGCAAAATTCTGCAGTGGAATATAGCTCTGTTGTACGCCTGTGATTATGGTGAGACAGTTGTTGTTTTTTTTTAATTTTGTTAAATTATGGATTGACTCTTGGTGTGTATGTGTCTGCAGAAGGATTTCATTGATGTGTTTGCAGGGTGGGTGACCATGGTATTTCCTGTGGGAGGATATGTACTCCATGCAAGTGAAAAATGATAACATTAATAGACTACACTTCCTGCTGTTGTGAAGAACGCCCTTCTAATTGACTTTTGTTTACTTAGATTAATAGTTGTCTGGACTTTAAATCCCATCTTTGTTTGACCTTATTTTATGTGAAGATGGTGGACTATTTTTGTGATGCAAAACAACAAACTCCTAAGATCACCTTAAATGAATCAACTTGTTGTTGTGAAAGTAAGAAATTCAAGCCGACTAAATTTTTATTTGAGTAAATATGGAAATACATCTTTTCTAACAGGGTAATCAGACCTGAATAGAGCTCCACTGGGCTCAAGTGAGATATATCTGTCTTGAAAAAGAGGTTAATCAGCTGAGAGAGTTTGGAGATTCATTACTAAGGATAGTGTATTGAGAACATGTCCCATGATTGGATATTTTAATAGATAAGGTGTTGGATCCAATCCTGGACTTGTACTTGATGTACATCCTGCCAAGTTTAAGCCTTAAACATTATGCAAATCCATTGATATGTCTCAATCAATACTTCACCAGTGTTTATCAACTTCTCTGAGTCTGGCACAAATTTTTCATTAGAAAAATCATACAGAGCTCCACCAACAAAAATGTCCTGAAAGGTATATGTAATTAAATACAAATTATCTACTGGTCTCAGTTTACTCACAATTTACTTACTCTGTATCAAACACTGCCCTCTTGTTAAACACAACCCTTAAAACTTTTAGGAAAAAAAGACACAAATAAAAATCTTCGATTGATCTGTTTATAGCCATTTGCTGCCACATTGTGGGAGTACAATTGTTTTGTCACCATCTCATTTAAAAACAAAGACATACTGTATTTTTGTACTAAATTAATTGTAGCTTTCAAACCAATTATATTGAGTCGTATCATTTTCCACAGCACAACTGATTATCCCTCACGACACACAGGTGTGCCACGGCATAGTGGTTGGGAATCACTGCCCCAAATCATCGATATTGAATTCAGTTCATACATAAGTGTTCAAGCTGATGGTTTAGACTCATCTGTGAAGACAAACTAGACTTAACGCCAATCCAAGACAGTGTTTCTCCAGTTCCCCTCGGTGGTACCAAATCTTTTTCTGTTCTGCTCTAATTGTTTTTTCCTCCTCCTTCCCCCGTGAGACAAAGGCCCACTAATCACTGTACTTAGAGAAATAGGGGAATACCCAGTGGTTGTGAAAGAATCAGGATTAAACCCAAGGCCGTGGGGAATAGTGACGTGATATCACACAGCCTGTGTGTGTCTGTGTGTGTGTCTGTGTAAGTGACAATGTACATGTCTTTTCAACCTCTGCTATCAGCACAGGAACAGTTGGAGTTTTGTCCCGCAGATGATTTTTGATTGAAGATGCCTTAACTAATAATACGTGTCATACTCAACCAAAGAAGTACAACTCAACCATTTCAACATCAACATTCCAACATCAACATGAACATCATGCTAAGCTGCTCCCCTCGTGTTCCTCTCTTCTCTTTTTAGGATGAAACTGGTGCCTATCTTATAGATAGAGACCCTACATACTTTGGACCAGTGCTGAACTACTTAAGGCATGGCAAACTGGTGCTCAACAGGGACTTGGCTGAGGAAGGTAAAATACAGTTCTATAAAAAAATCAATCCATTGCAAATGTCATTGAGACCAACAGAAATGGTTGTATTTATTTTAATTTTTAGTATTTGTAAGAAGATGCCAAAAATGACAGCACAGAGTTTTCTAGTGGACAATTTCTACTGCACTAGTAGAGGTTAATAAATAAAGTCATCGTCTAGTACTTTTCTTTAACTGGCTATTACGGGTTGAATGTGTCAACTGCTGAATCGCATGCAACTACATCTAAACGTCTCTCTTTGAGCAGAAATACCTTGGGATCAAACCAGTATTTTGCCATTTGTATTAAAAGCAACATCACCAGAATCACATAATGATTGGCTTATGTTTGATTCGCATATATACATGTTATTTTATTTTGTTTCTGCAAAACATTTGCCCTAAAAAGTCCTACATGTTACTGTTAGCAGATGGGATTTATTTTTAGCAGTACGATTACATGTCTGAAAATCATGACTCATCACTTTGTCACTGTTCAAGGTGTTTTAGAAGAAGCTGAATTTTACAACATCACATCATTAATAAAACTCATCAAAGAGAAGATCAGGGAACGTGACTGCAAAACATCACAGGTATCTGAATTTTTTTTTTCTGTTTTTGACTGTTTCTGTGCAAATGCATGTTTGTCATGTGTTTGTTTTTTACTCTCAGGTTCCAGTGAAACACGTCTATCGGGTCCTGCAGTGCCAGGAGGAAGAGCTGACACAGATGGTGTCCACAATGTCTGACGGCTGGAAGTTTGAACAGGTAAAGTCTCTTCCTGTTTGCTTACATGAGTAGCAGCTACAGGCCTAGTGTCATCTGTGCTCCATTAGCTCCCAAAGTGGCCGCATTCATGCAGGATCTCAAATCCTTCTATTTGGAAATGCCTTAATGGGCAAACCACATACGTGATCTGGGCGTCCCCCCTGTGCTCTGATTGGTTGTTACAGTTTGTCAGTATAGGTTACGGGCGGGCCCACCAGTCAGAGTTTCTGCTGATTGTGTCAAGGGAGGTGAAAGGAGAGGATTCTGCTTTGCCAAACAACAGTGGAGAGGTGTGTCCCACAAATGTCTGTCCACGGGCTGGTCACTGCATGGTCCCCATGTTGTCCAGGAACACATCCTGTTTGTTGTAAATATTACTAGTATACACTGGGCTCCCATTTGAGTTTTTGTTTCTTTGTTCATGTGTTTGTACTGCTTGCTCACCAATGAGTCATGACACTTGATCTTTTTAGTCCTTTTTTAATGTATCCTTCATCTACAGTTTTTAACTTTGTCCTCAACGTTGGACGTGTGGGGGGCCTATGATGTATTGTATCAATACTTGTTCTGAGATAAAATCATGCTTTATTTTCTAAGCATTCATTTTCCGATGATTAAAATGCAGTCAGATGTTGATGGTTTTGCATGGCGTGGCCTGTGTGACAATTGGATGTTGCATACTCAGCTGTGAGTGACGCAGTAGAGACCACAGATACAGTTTCCAGTCTTTTTTTGGGAATATTCATAAATAAGGACAAAACTTTTATAAATAGAAATAAGGCACACTGAGAATCTACGTGACATAGCCACCATCTATAGGACTCCTTCATTATATATTTATACATATGATTAACTGTATATTGTATGTATATATATCTTATAACTTGCCAAAATGAAGCATTATTGTGTGTGTGTGTGCGTGTGTGTGGTAATTGGTTAGAAATCTAAAAAAAACAAAGCTACTGCCTGTTACTCAGTTCTCTATGATCTGTTTTTCTTTTCTGTGTTGACATTGAATGTGAGGGAAGTCACTTAACAACAAGTCTGGAGCAGCAGTGGCTAATGAAGCCGTGCATGTCTGAACATGCACACCTGGGGACTGAGGGTATACTGTACATGTAGCCTGCAGTTTGTACACACTTAAAAAGTCAGCAGCAAGAAGCAGTTATTCAGGCACTATTCCTTTTTTTATGGTTCAAAGGCGTGTTCACAGACAGTTTTGATTATCTGATTTTTTTCTTCTCTGTATTTGTGTCCACCTTTTGTCATCTGATAGGAAGGACATAAACTCTGTTGTTTTCCTTCTATTTATTGAAAGACGAGATCCAGGGTAATCTCAAACCAGTCTTACTTCTTGCTCCTGTATCTGATGTTTGGGTAACACGTTTGTTTGTTGGTCTTATCATTTGTTTAAATTTGGATTTGCCCCAGTTTCTTGTTGAGTTCAGTCTTAGTTTGACACTGGTGATGCACGGCTCACAATAAAACACAGCACAACAGGAGCGCAACATGTGGTTGGATCCTATTCGTTTTGTTCCATATATTCAGTCACGTTCACCAGTACTTGTTAATTTTACTTTAATCCAACCAACACGTTCAGTGACCACTCGTCAAAGTGTGTAGCATTTGATGAATCTACATGTGGTTGGATATTCCTTATTAAATCAATCCTGGTCCAGCATGTGGCAGAACACATGGAAGGCTTCCTTTAAACTTCCTACTACTGTGGTCAAGTGTAAATTTCATTGTAACATGGTAGCATTCTGGTGGATGTGGTTAGGATTCCATCAGTTTTAATTACCATACTAATATTTTTCATAATTACAAAATTAAACTTATTTGTTACATGTTTATTTAAATTCTGTGTTAAAATACTGCAGAAACCTGCGGGCCCTCAGTCACTGACATGTTTCCCCACTTGTCTTCAAATGTCTTTTCATTGCTGGTTTTCCTGCCACAACGGCCCCAGTGTTTCCCACCTCTTCATCAGTCTCAAGCTAATTCTTGCCATGTACTCTGCTCTCATGTCTGCAGCTGGTCAGCATAGGCTCCTCTTACAACTACGGAAACGAAGACCAAGCCGAGTTCCTGTGTGTAGTCTCCAAGGAGCTGCACAATCAGTCGTACGGGACCAACAGTGAGCCCAGTGAGAAGGCTAAGGTAAGAGTGTGAACGTGGAGGGCCCAGGTGTAAACGGAGCCTCGGTAAACACAGATGAATGATGGCCTGGGCCTCGCGTTTTAATATGACTACATTTATGAACACACCACCAGGACTGAAAGCACCTCTGGTTTATTGATGAGAAACCACATTGAAGGAGAACACTGTAAATAAGTAGTACTTCAGTTAGTACTGGACTGCTTGTACCAGTGAAGGAGGCAAGGAGGGAGGGAGAGGGAGAGAGAGGGAGAGAGATAGACAGACAGAGGCCAATAAAATGTCCGTAAGCGCACCAAGCCTTTTCATAAGGATTTCATGTTTGAATGTTCATATAAAGACATCCAATAATGTGTACATAACTTCACATTCTGTCCAGGGTTAGTAATTGGACCTTACATTTTTTAGTTTACTCTTAAGGAAAGTGAACTCCTTGTCATTGTGACACAGCTCACCACTGCACACAACCAGATGTGACCTCTGTTTTTAACCCATCACCAAAGTGAACAGTGGGCAGCTTTAAGCTCTTTAAGTGCCATGATCAGAGCACCTCAGTGGTAACTTAGCAGCTAGTGAACTCGAACCTGTAGCCTTCCAGACTCAAGTCTGCTTTCTTAACCACTAATCCACCACTTAACGTATGAACTAAAGGACAACATGCAGGTTTCTATCACTGGGTAATTAACTGTTAAGGTTGTAATATTGAATGTTTTCATGTTTCTCTGTTTCCTCCACTCTCTGTGTCCATATGTGATTCCCTTCTAAACATGTCCCATTGGCTCCTTCTCCTCCTCCTTCTCCTCTACTTCATTGAACTCCTTCATTCATTTCTGTCATTGTCTCACACTGCCTCTCTTGTCTTCTTCTGTGCCGTCTGCATGCTGCATGTTGCTCAGAGCGAGGACGAAGGGACGGATTATGAAATGAATGACTATGATGATTATGGTAGAGCACTTGTGACTCACTGGTGAGCGCTAAACTGCTCGTAGTGCCTCCACATCTCTAGAGTTGCTCCTCCTCCTCCTCTTCCTCCTCTTCCATCCTGTACCTCCTCCATGCTTTTTACTACTGCTGAAATCAGATCTGTAGCTGAAGAAGATGCTTTTTCCTCAGAGAAGTTCCTGTTATATCCAAAACATTTCTAGATCACAAGTAAACAACTGATGTTATTTTGTTTCATGCTAAATCATCAGGTGCCATTTCTCTGACCTTCATTCATGACACAAAAAATAAAGGGTGCAGTGTGACTCCCACTTCTTCTCTCTCACTTCTGGCATTGTGAAATAACTGCCTTTGCAAAAAAAATGACATCTGTTACACCTGCTTTTTGTGGCATTTTATATGCAATGAGTGTGTTCAATTTTATGAGTACAGTAATAATCAGCATTGATTCAAACTACAGCCCCCTCACATTGGAGATAAAATAGCATAGAGTTGAGCAAAAATCTAATTTTCTTTCTTTTTTTAAATTTCCTCCCTCCCTTTGTCTCAGCAGATTCTTCAGGAACGGGGTTCCCGGATGTGAAGACGACGTAGTATTATGAGCTCCAGGTGTTATGATGTAAAAACATATCATCTTTGCGGAAGAACGTTTGGCACAACTGAGATTTAACCGGCGGTGGGGGTGGGGCCTGTACATTTACTTTGTTTCCCCTCCATCTTTGTTTTTGTTTCCTGTCTTTTTTGTTTTGTGTCCTGACTGACAATTTGTGCCTGTTCACTTAAACTGGACCTTTATGGATTAATTAGCAGGCAGTTATTGTCATTTTGTTTTTCTTATTGAAACTAAGGAACTGCAGTCTACAGACATTTTATGCTATAAACTATGGCCGTTGTTCAAGGCCAACGATTCACTCAGGGTGATCTGTTGAAATCGTTATCGCTCCAACTCAGTGGTTTAGTCAGGAGTCAGAGTCAGTTTGTAAGTCAGAAATTTCAAGTCAGAAATCTTTCTGTGAAGATTGTAAGAAGGGAAATTTGCATTTTTAATGCATGTTAAAGAGTAGGATTATTAAATGTAAAATTCACCCCCATAACCCCTTTTTATTTTCTTTCTGATCATATTTCAAGCCATTCACAAGATTTGTGATCATGAGGATCCCAACTACATGTGTTGTCAGAAAGTGACTTTTAACCTTGACGTAACATTTACATTTCTTTTTTGGTTTAAGAAAAAGGATTGGATTATTTATTGGTAGGTTTTTTTTTGTATGAGCTTTTTTTAAAAAAAGCCTGAATGGTGAAAAGCCCAACATTCAGAAGAATAAATAAGCTTTATATTCATATTGCAAGACATTTGACTTACTGTCTAGTCGAAGCTAGTAGTTGTATTGCTGCTGTAATTGACAGTGCTGTGAGTAGAAACCATACATAAGAAGTGGACTGGATTGGTTGCACAACTTTGGAGCCAACTTTAAGCTCCTCCAAGTTTCCCGCAGAAACGGAACAAGATTTTGCTGATTACACCCTTCAACATGATCACTAGCTTCTTTTTTTAATAAAGTAAAAGTCCATGCTATTGACACTGTAGTGCCATCTCCAGCTGGAGAGTCAGTCATATGCAGTGTCCCCCCTCTCCCCCCGTTCAGTTGTTTTTTTTTTTTTTTTCATTTTTCCTCTAAATGGGATCTGGATTTGTAAAACCAGGGGAAAGGAAGTTAGTTCCAAAAGCGGCTAAGACATCCATTTTATATAAAACATTTAAGGCCATGTCAGCGTTTAAATGTTGACTTTTCAGGAGCTCCATTCACTTCTGTTATTATTAGGTTGAGCGTTATTTTTTAGGCTTTAACAGAACTATTCGTTAAATGACTTCTTTGGTTAAAACAAGTCAAATGTATTTGTTTAAAATGATAACCTTGTGCGATACAAACAAGTTTAAGCTGTCAGACTTCCTCTGACTGATCAGTGAGAGACCTCATGTTCATAAATCTACAGCTAATTGCCAATGTCATCAACGGTATTTCACAAATGTTTCTTTTGTGTTGATTCATATTTTTTTAACATCTGTCCATCAAAGTTTTCTTGTTCACTGTCTAGAAAAAAAAACCATCCAGGACTGAAGTGACTTTGCGATTTGTTTTTCTCTCCATTTTTTTCTCTTATGGATTTATTTTGTTGTTGTGTTAAAGTAGTTGCTGTGTTTGAGATTTAGGGACGGGAACTGTTTGAAGGCTGTGGTGAAGGACTTTCTTTTCATATCCAGATGATTTTTTTTTCTTTGTTTTGCTGTATATAATCCAAATTCATTATTAATATTTAACTCTGAAAGAAAGAAAACTGCACGTTTTGTACACTGTATAGAAACGCAACTTTTGAAGTGAGAGTTGTTTATACTGGATCTTTAAACATCAACCTTGATAATGTTAAGCTCTGTTTTTTGCAATGTTTGTACAGTACTATATGTATATTTACACATTAGGTTTAAAAAACAACAACAACAAAAACAGCTTTTGCTGACTCTTGATACCTTCCCTGAGAACGTACAGTACCTGGAACTTGTTTTGATAACCAATAACAAAGCTACACCTGGCTGGCTATGAAGTTGACTGTTACATTTAAGAAAACAAATATGTTTTTTCCTGCATTGTATAAGAACGGTGGAAGCATTTGGAACATTTGTGTAGATTTGGTACACAGCATTGCATGCACTACAGTGGGAAGTAGACACTGTGCACATTGCTTACAGCCTACAGGCTTGTTGTTGTACTTGTAAATACAGCATTTTAGAACTTTTTTTTTTTTCTAAAAAAAAATAGAAACTTGTTTTCAGGTTTTATGTGTACTTTTTGATAGGTTGAATATTCCATTCACTAATAATCTTTTGGTGTTGCCTTTTTTCCTCCCCAAGACCAATTCCATTGTCTTATGTGTGTTGCACACATTGATCTTCAGTGTCAGGGATAAGTAACTTTTTTAATGCTGGCGTTCTTTGTACAGACACGCACACAAACCTACAACAAACCAACTTACTCGTACACTTGACTAAAAAACTTTTATATAATTTGAGGAAACAAGTGTTGATGCATGTTTTTGATATAGAGCACATAAGGGCTTTCAAAGTGCAAAATAAAAAAAGAGTAAATCAAAATAGACTGATTCCTGCCAGAGATAGGCAATGTTTACATTTGCTCAAGAGTTCTGAAGCCTTCCAGTCTCTACACTCCTCTTGCACTCCTTCACACACATTAATGTTCATGTGCAAAGTCTGAGGCCACCTTTTGATCTGTCATTTTGATGAAGGTTATTAACTAGCTGTTTATTTTTAGTCCTGTTCTTGAGATGCAACAAAAATGTAGAAAATGCTAAAAACCTGAAATAAGAAAAATAAATAAACTCAAAAACTGTTCTCTTTGACATTTAAATTAGAATTTAATACATTGACTTGTTCTGTAATTTTCCTTTTTTTTAAGTTGCAATACTACCACGTAATAGTGCTATTTTGCAGAATGGGCATTTCCTTGATTCCATGATTCTTTGGCTTATTTTTAATTAAATTGCTGCATACATTCAAGTCATGTTCTATTTAATAGACCAATAGAATATCTTGAAAAGAGGGTAGCCTGATTATTTTGATAGTTAAAATTTAAAAAAGTTGTTTATTTGACATTGTAGTCAATATATAGAAAGATTATCTTAAGATATTTCTCTTTTGCATTAATTTTATTATACATATGCTTTACAATATCCTGCCTGTACTTCAGCTGAGAAAGTAGATGGTCTTCTGCATATTAAGCTTCTTAATAGCATAGACAAACTTGGCATCATACTAATAAAGTTGAACCAGGGCTTCAAAAATCCAGTTTTTAATGTCATCTGTTTTATGGATTTTAGAATGAGTCTAAGAAGGAAAAGTACTTTTTTTAAAAAACAAAACGGAATCTAATAGTGGCCTGAGACTTACCACAGTACTGCCTGACAGGGTCACCTAGAGTAATACTACCCCATCCTGTATATATACTAATACTTGGCTTGTGCTTGAGCGTGTTAGACAATCTTGCTTTTCACCCTCTCTTATTACAAACATACTAACTTTAAGATGTGTTGAATCTAACTTTTTTTTGTTAAGCACGTTAGCAAAGTATAAGTGCTGTTGCATTGTCTTAGTTGTGACCTAATTCAATATGTTTTCACCTGTCGTTTAGGCCACATCACCTTTAACAATGTTCATAAACGTGGTCCAGACAAGATCATTTCACAGAATGCATTCATTCATTCAACTCTGCAACTCCTAGCACTTTTAAGTGCCCCGTTGCTTTATTGCATTCTACTTATTAGCCCCACAACACTGTATTGCATGGTTGACTATGATCAGACGTGTAATGATTGTTTCATTTTCCTCCCCTCAGTCTAACAGTTATATCCAGTAATAAGGTCTTCGTATCACTACACAGATCACTTCTATACGATCTTATGCAATGTTTTAAGACAATGTAAAATGTTAAGGGATAGATTTATATGGTCTTTAAATGAGGTAACAATAAAAATTTCACCCAAGTCCGTGTTTGTGTATTTCTTTCCTAAAGTAAATAAAGTACTTTAATAATAGTTCATCCTTAGACATCTCACGTTCATATTGCGACCTCATGCGGCAGTTTAATAGATCTCCCTGCATCTGTATAGTTGTCCTTTAAAATGCCTGATCAAAAATTGACTTTTTTCTTTGTTAAAAGTGTATTTTTTAACCTTAAAACAAAAGAAAAAACTTGTTTCTAATGTCTATGTCACATCCGATGCATTGGGTTGTAATAAGCCATATTCCTTTGGTGTTGTTTGAAAGGGGTGTTTCGAATTGACACGGAAAGTCGTTTGGGTTAACGGCTTTGAAATAAGACAAAGAGCGTTTAGAGGCAAGATGTAAATCTGCCCATGTCCTTAATTTAAACCCAGGTTTGCTTGCCAAATGCAATATTCTAGTTCCTTTTTTATAAACATTAAACAACAAGAATTTAAAAGATCAATACACTGTGCTTTAGCATAATATCTCAGCCAGACAAGTCATTTTGTGACAAAAAACATTGACCTGTTGAATACGGAGCAGCTTAATGAGCTTCGTTCCTTCTACTACTAAACTAATTATGAAGTTAACAGAAAATCAACAGAAAAAAATATTTAAGCTTAATTTCGAGAGTTACACGCAACACTATTCTAATGCGCGAAGTACTCTGCCGCTAGCCGCACTTAAGCGAAGACGGAAGTGAATGGCGGATAACTCTCTCTTCGTTGTCGCTGTGTCTAGCTTTAGTCGGAGCGGTTGGTTTTTCAGGAGGGAAACTTTACAAGCTTTACCGGGATTTGAGCTCGATTAATTCATTTCACTTAATTACCAGATCAAGTGCAACCATACTGAAAGGTAGGGATGCGTGGTGACTGCAGCTTTTACAAAATAATTCACGTATATTGTCATATTTTCCCCTCTTTGGTTTGCGCCATTTTCGCTAGTTTGGTAATGCACAAATGTGCGCCTTTGAGCTCTGGCGTTCTTTGTCTCCGCTCATTAACGGTTTGCGCTGAGCGTTATTATCCTACATACTTTCACACCCTCGTTTGCTGCCTAGTCAGTGACGTTATTTAGTGTCGGAAAAAAGCCGTACTATAGGCGTTTCTATGTTGAAAAAGCCAATTTCGAGTCGAGTGCATTTGCGCATTTTTGTGCTGCACCAGGCCGTGTCAGACGCTAACTGCGCCAGCGCCTGTCGAGATGTAGCTCCATTCTGGCGCACATGAGTTAGCACAGGAAGCTAACCGGCTAAGCAGATCCTAGCGTTTATGCTGAAGTTTGCGGACGTTTGACAGTGAGTACAAGCAAAACTGAAACGAAAGAGTCGCTAACGCAATTTGTTCCTGGTTTATTTTACTTTGAAAACATAAGGAGAGTACGTGTAGTAAAATAGGATTTTTCTTCTCGATATGATTCGCCGCTTGCTAACTTGACTAGCCCCGCTAAAGGTCTAGGCTTAAATTTACCTTTAAAATGTTATACATGAGCGTGACGAGTATAATGTAATTTTAAAGATCGGTTGGACCAACACTGGTGTAAAAATGCAAACAGAAAGCTTATAGTTGTTGTTCGCAGCGCTTGATGTGTTACTTCTGTCATTGTTGTTGGAACTGTTGTTAGACCAAAGTAAAGTTACAGACACATTAACACACGATCTTAGCCTGATCCCCAAATTAGGTCGTAAGTCATTTTCACTTTCGGTTTGTGTATGTTTAAAATTCAGTATTATCTATTTTTAAACTGCAAAACAGACAAAACCTACAAAAGTGAATTTTTTTTTGGTCATATTTTAAAAATATGTGGTGTGGTTAAAGAGGAGGAAAACATACTTTATACTTAAGTGATTGCTCAACTTAAATTGTTTTACATCATATATTTGTACCTGCCATACACACTGAAATTATGTGGTTGTTACTGGGTTATGTCTTTAGACTTTTTGTAATTGTTTGGTGAGCTAAGAATACAAAATGTAATTTACAGTGAGGGAACTCTTAGAGAAATGTTTGTAATAGTGATGAACTGTCATAGTAAACAATTAATGGGCTATTTCACAAGCCCACCATGTACATTGTAGTACTGCTTGCACATTTAGCAGCAGTTTCTGTTCCCAGGGTTTCCCTTGATTTCCTTTTTGTCCTTTAACTATGTCAATGATAACTGATTTTTATTTACAGTGACTAACATTATGTAAGCCATGACCCAACATCATGGTCTGTAAAGCCTTTGACACCGTATCCTCTTAAACACAACCTTATTGACTTTTATATTAAGTATCTTACTTATGTGTCATTTTAGTTATCTTTTCAGAGCGTTGCATAGATTCAACAGGACATGATTAGTCATTAAAACTACACTATTATCTGCCTATCCATGTAAAGGTTGCATTAATATGGTTTAAGGTTTTCGGGAAAAACATGTTACAACGTGTGAAAACACTTGTAGAAAAACAGTCTATGTTTAATTAGTTACATTATCTTCTTTTATTTACAAATAACTTGGTTGACCTCTCATTGACTTGGCGCTCTTCTTTCTCACAGGAGTACACAAATCATGTCGGGAATTGCATTGAGCCGGCTTGCTCAGGAGCGCAAGGCATGGCGGAAGGACCATCCTTTTGTACGTTTTAATTTTTTTTAAAGAAGTGTCCAGTCTGCCTGCGGTCAGTCCACCTGTTGCCCATTTGTTTACACTCTGATATTTGTTTTCTCAGGGATTTGTTGCCGTACCAACAAAAAATCCAGATGGGACTATGAATCTCATGAATTGGGAATGTGCTATTCCTGGCAAGAAGGGGGTAAAGTGTTTCATTCTGTTTGCCCAGGGAAAATGTTTGTAGATTAACGATTTCATAACGTTGTTCTATGACAAAACTGTCACAAATAGAGAGGTGTCTTTTTGTGTTTCTTGTTTTCTCAAATGAACTCATTAAAAGATATTTCAGTTTAGTCTTAGAAGAACCAGTGTAAAAGCTACATTTATTGTTATTAACAGACTGAAATGTATCCTTTAGAATGAGTAGAAGTGAAAGAAGTTCATTCTTGTGAAAATTGTGATTTGATACGATGCTTTGTGAGGCGGCTGATCTTGTGATTGTGTGGCTTTTCAGACTCCGTGGGAAGGAGGTCTGTTCAAACTGCGCATGTTGTTCAAGGACGACTATCCCTCTTCACCTCCAAAGTGTAAGTTACAGTGTCTCCAACTTTCTGAGGCAATGAAAGTGTGACATTGTGGCTGTTTTTTGCAGCTTAAAAAAATCCTGTCTTATTTATTCCAAACTTTATTTCATAATCCACTTCATCTACCTGTGTCCTAAAGGGGTGAAAAGTAACATTCTCTCACCATCAGTGACTGGAAATGTAACTCTATCAGAACTGGAGGTCCATCTTATCTCTGCCCGTCTGTCAACTCTGACATCTCATCACTCTGTATCAGATACAGCTGCAGCTCAATGCAAATAAAAAAAAAAATCCAAAAGCTGTCAGAATCACCTTGAAAGGAGTCTGTGGTTGATTTACATGGTCTGGATTAAACTGAAATGTTAAAACAGCATATTATAAAAAGAACTCTTTAATGTGTTTTCAGGTAAATTTGAGCCTCCACTCTTCCACCCAAATGTGTATCCATCAGGCACCGTATGCCTATCTATTCTAGAGGAGGACAAGGACTGGAGACCGGCCATTACAATAAAGCAGGTTTGTTTGTCAGTTTTATGGTTTTATGTTTCATTCATGGAATGTAAGTTTTATTTATTATTTAATTTATTGAGTTAATTTAAACCAAACTGCATCTGACGTTAGTAATGAGTCTAATGAAATATTTTTATTAGAAAAGTTCCTGTGTAACTTGTTAGTTTTGACTCCACATCAGTTATTTCAGTTTTCATGCAACTGACCTTTTATACCAGATCCACAAACAATAACAAAGTACTGATGGTTAAATCATTCATTAACAGCTCTTGTCCTTTTATCTGTTTCATTCATCCTGCAGATCCTATTAGGTATCCAGGAACTCTTAAACGAGCCAAATATCCAGGATCCAGCCCAAGCAGAGGCCTACACAATCTACTGGTGAGTGTCAGCGGTTATACTGGAAAATTACGCCAATCCTAATAGGTTAAGATTTGGTGAAAAGGGTTTTTCAGAGTTTGTTCAGGGAAAAGAAAAAAAACAAGGGTGAGAGTGAATAATCACCTGTTTCTTTTCCTGTGCAAAAACTGGGTCTGGTTTGAATAGGGGAAAAAATACTTTCTTTACTAAAAGTGCACAATCAAAAAACCACGGTGAAATGACTTTCAAATTGTTTTTTTGTTTTTTGCCTGTTTGCAGCCAAAACAGAGTAGAATATGAAAAAAGAGTTCGAGCACAGGCCAAAAAATTCTCCCCCTCGTAAGGGTGACGACTTTGCTCCGCTGCAGCAGAAGGAATGGGTTTAACAAGAATCACCTCCCCTCTCAGTCTCTCGATGAATGTGCTCCTCTCACACCGGACTTGCTTAAAGACTCCTATTTAAACTCCACACATTCTGTGCCATCCGCTCTCTTCTGACCTTCAACCTTCATTTTTTTTCTGTTTTCCATGCTAATTTGCCGGTTGGCTCATAACTGCTGGGAGGGGACGGGTGCTCCGACACCCCGGTCATTTCTTTTTAAACGTTTATTGTCTTATGTGGTGCGAAGGACACAGCTCGGTACCAGTTTCATTAACGTAAGCTGGCTGTCATCAGTGTTCATGGAAGAAAACGTCTTTACTTTGCTCCTTCACAGGGTCTATTCTTTGGTCCCTCCCTCTCTTCCTTCCCCCGCCCCAACTTTTGTTTTCCATGGTTTATGTAAACCTTAGCTTAATTCATTGTCAGTATTTGGACTGCTGTATAATGAATGGCACTTTTATACTGTCGTATCTCACTAGTGTCTCTAGATGGCTCTCTGTCTAATTCTCTCTCCCAGGTTTTCTATTCAGCATGCTGTAATATATGATAGATTCTGCTGCCTTGGCTGTCTTTTTGTTATTCAGAGTGTTTGCTATGAAATAAATAAAACATGGCCACAATGACTGAGGCAGGTAGGCTTACTTCTGTATCAGACTCTAAGGTTATACGGTGCTTTGTTCATGTATGTGTTGGCGTAAATAAACTTTCTACAAAAGGTTTGCCGTTTCTTATACACACCGGTGCAACAGACAGCAGGATGACCCCTTTTTGCCCTCTTACCCCCACCCTAGATTAATTAACTGTGATCTCAGGCTTGTAGTTGATGACTTGTTACAAATATACTGATAAAGTTACAAGTATTAAGGTAATGTGTACGTGCTGCAAAAAATCAGATTAAAACAGTGGATATAAAATACTCTGGTTTCTACATTTACTTACAGAAAACAACATGAATGGCAACAATGAACTCTCATTACTAGGTAAACTTAGTACACATCTAGAAAACACTATTAAAGCCAAAGTTTAATTCAAAATATGTTATCAGTGCTTTATATTTGTACAGATATATACACAGCAAAATCTGTCCTCTGTGTTTTCCTTAAGTCTAAGTATCCGTCTTTGTCTTCTGGCAACAGCCATACATTGAGTCTCCAGTTGTGTTCTCTGTAGTACACGATCTACAAAGGTTGTGGCCATTGATGGGCCGCAAACTCGAGGACTATGCTGATGAAGTGTCAGATTTTAAACTCTACATGCAATCAATGCGTCTATTATACTTGCATATCGTCAAGGACAGGATTTCAACACTAAAATGTGACTTAAAAATGCTTTTCCCTCGTAATGGTCGTTGCCAGTAATTTTCCAGCGTTTTGGGCACAGTTTTTACACACAAACAATGGATTTAACTCTTTGGTCTCTAAAGTTACAATTTTTTTTGTAGTCTTTAAGGCTGATCTGTGACCAGACCTCATTATACTGCTGTGACACATTTTGACATCACTACAGTGTCAGTAAAACTGAAATTTGAATTCGTCTCAGCATGAATTTATCGATATGACATGGTCTGCTGTGAAGGTATTCAGGATGCAGTACTCATTACGGTACCAGGGGGAGCCCTTCTCCAGGGATATGTCACTGTATTGCCAGTAGCCTTCCTTAAGTGGACTCCCAGGCTCTGAGTTCAGAGTCCGATCCTCCGTAGCTGACAGTGGATTCATGATGTTCACTGCACAGGGCAGGCCCAGGACAGAAGACTCACAGGATGAGACGGGTATGTTACAATAGGCTCTGCCGTCCAGCATCTGGTGGTCAACCTGGGGCTCACAGACTTCATGCGGGAGATCCAAACACTTGATCAGGGAGTCGATATGGGCTGAAGTCTCGACTGTCAGCATCTCAGTGTTTTCATGTGTCACCCAGCTCTGCAGAAGTAATATAGGATTATAACAATTAGAAATGTAGATATATGCATATATTTAATTTTTTTAGCTGAGATGTACCATTTTCCAAGTTATCTAACCTTAAAGTCTCCTTGGCAGTCGCCGTAGAGTACGTGGAAATAAGGCTCTGGTGTTGGGATGAAGACTCGTTTCCTCCACATGTTGGTGTTGAGAATATTTACATTATAAATACAATAACTAACTTCAAACCCTACACAGGGAAATACAGAAAGTGTGTTCCTTACTTTCTAACAGCAACACAAACCAAGATGAGGATAAACAGCAACGTTACAAAGGGAATCAGAGACTTCTGGAGTAGTTCAGGTATGAGAAGTAGATCTGTGGATGAGAAAAGAACGTGTTGTTAAAGGACAAAGTTGCTGTTTTGACAGGTTCTCTTTCAAAATGTGATTGTCCTGTACACTGAACACTACACTGACTCGCCTGTTGTGACTGAGTCTGTCTTCCAGTGAACCAGTGGAGACCAGTCACTCCATTCTCCCTCAGAAATGATGTTAGGACTGGAGCGTACTCTGGCTGTGTACTTTGTCACGGGCACCAATTTCTCATCGTCCACTGAGAAATGCTGATTGTTTGTATAAATGTGTAATGTCACCTGAAAGAAAAAACACAATTACTGTAGCATCATAGATGGCTTAGATGTATATTCCTTTTTGCCAGTCGACAAGTTATTTTTACATCAGACCCCAGGACAACTTGTTTTTTTTACTTTGCACAATAACGTTTTACTGAAAAAAACACACAAGTTGTATGGAATTAACTGCTTTTTTTAATTAACTGCTTAATATTTACCTTAATATTTACACGCTAATAGCATTGAAATTAGAACACCTTACAATTTTGTATTTTGTGTAGGCTAATAGCATTGAAATTAGAACACCTTAGATATTGTGTACATCAGTAGTACATCTACCTTGTCATCGTGATGTTGGCGTTCACTTTTGATTATTTGAAGCTGATACTTGAAAATGTAATTTCCATGTTTCTCATAAGTGCTTTTCCAGGTGAAGTGATGCTGTGTTGAGTTGTGGTTGACTGTGAGGCAACACGGTGCATTGGGTTTAACTGAGGAGATGGAAAATATGCAGGATTAAGTTTCATTATTTTTAAACGGTTGTTTTTTAGTTTTCATCCCCAGGACAAGGTCCTGATTGGCTCCTTACTGTTCTTGGAAGGTTTGTAGTTGTCCTCCAGTACATGACAGACAGCAGGTCCATCAGTTTGGTTGTGACAGAGCGAAATTTTATAAGTGTCCAAGTCCATGAAGACTTCTGGGTAATCGTCCTCGGGTATTTGAGCAGATGTGTCAACGGTACAAAAATAATCTTTATGCCCGTTTCTCAGCAAACACACGAACTGCTTTCTGCACAGAGAGAAGCGGTTCTTAATTGAAAACCACTGAGAGTGTGGTCAGATGTTAGTGACAACAGATTTGTCATTTTTTACTCATTTTTCTGGATAATGTTAACCTGTTTTTTAGTTGTTCATCTCTATTCCTTTTCATTAATTTTATATTTTAGTTGTTCCCGGAACACTAACTATGACGTACAGTAGATGTGAGTGTTGGACTAAAGAACCGTACTTACTCTTCCACCTTCTCCCTGAGAGTCAGCCAGTATGAGCTGTTGCTGCTGGAGTTGAGTGCTGATGCTGCCTTGCTCAATGTGCAGTTGATGGTGTACAGGTAATCACTGACACAGTGGAGGCTGGGAAGATCTGCAACATTAGTGAGGACAGTCACAAGTCAGATCCACCTAAAGTCATCTCTACAACGTATTAAAGTTTCTAATAAAAATGTCACGCCAGCATTTGGGGATCTTTCAAGTTTTTAACCATCCATATTTGTTGAGCAGAGACACCAGTCTTTCAGTTAGTTAAATGATACATTACCTGAAGGATTTCCATGCAGACAGATGATGTTGGCAGACATGAGCAGAAGCACATTCA